TCTTTCCTGTCAGCTCCATGCCCCTGCTATGCACACACCCCATACTTACACAAGCACGTGCAGACACACACACCCATACATGCACATACACCCATACACCTACACGTGCACACACCACTTACACCTCCATGCACCTAGATATATGTACACACCTGCACACCTACATGCACATGCGTGTACACACGCACTGCTTCATGCCCTCACTGGGACATGGAAGGGATCTTGCCTTCCTAAGAGAAATGAGGACAGCTGGAGCTCTGAGCCTCGGAAGGCGAGGGGGCGTGGGTTCATCCGAAGCGAGGACATGGTGGAAACCAGGGAGGAGAGGGAATGTGGAAGGCTTTATTTCACAGGAGCGGGGCTTGCTGGGGGAGTGGCCAGCGGGCACAGGAGACTACTGCAAGGTTGTCCAGGCAATGGCCCACAGCAGTTCCGGGAGCTGGGAGGGGTGGTGGCTGGCCTCTTACCCCAGCCCCTTCCTTGTCCCCCTTTCACCTTTCAGCACCCCCACCCCAGCTTCACGCGCCCGGGCCCCCCTCCTGGGCAGGCGCACACACCACGCCGAGGCCGTCCGGGGCGCCTGTGCAGGGATGCAGGGCTGCGGTCCCTGCGCAGCGCCCCCACCTCTCAGCGCCCGCGAGGCGTGGGGTCCCGGGCGAGCCGGCGCTTTCCTGGGTGGGTGCCCTCCGCTCGGGGAAGCAGAAGCTGCACGTCTCCACCGGCTCTGGCGGTGCCACGACGCTGCTGGCCTCCATCGCGGGGTCTGCGGAGGGCAGAGGGAAGGGCTGCGGCCTGGGAAACGCCCAGCATCCGGCAGAGCATAGCCCTCCCCAAGCCTGGCCGCAGGGACCGGCTCCAGCAATCCTCCCCATCCAGGCACCAAGGGCCGGCTCCCCCACACCAACACACCTCCAGGGCATCCGCCCCCTCGGTCTCAGACCCTGGAACCCCACGTTGGCCGGCTTCTCTGGCCCCACCCTGCATCGGTTGCCACGTCTCTTGACTTCCTGCCTAGACGTTTTCCACCGGTTTTACCAAGACGAGGCAGGGATGTGCCCGATCCCCCCCGGGGAGATCTAAGGGTTCCTTTTGCTAAGCAGGGCAGAGGCTGGTCACCCAGCGTGGGAAGGGCGAAGGGCCGGGTTTTGCGCACTCACCCTGGGGGCACTTGGCCCGGCGTCCACACGGCCCTGCGGGGGGCCGGCAGGAGAGCTGGTCGCCCTTCCTCTTGAGGACGCAGGTCACCAGCACGAGGAAGCAGCAGAGCACGGCGCAGAGGCACAGTCCCAGCGTGCTGTACACCAGCGCCAGCTGCTCGGCGCTCAGCCTGGGCCCCGGTGCTGCAAGACAGGGGAGTGGGGCTCGGGAGGAGCCTTGCCCAGCCCTCAGGCTCTCCTCCTCAGGGCAGCCACCCCCACCCCGCCCCACCCCCTGGTCTGTCTTGTTCCCTTAGTAGGCCCGAGTAGACCCCGTAGCCACGGTTGCTAAGTCCTGCCTGCAGGGGAGACCCTCTGGTGAGCGGCTTGGCGGTGATTGCTCTGCATCCGGCGAGCACCTGCCCATCCAGGAGACTGGTAGCAACTTCTCCCAAAGACCTCAAAGCTGGACAGCCCTGGGGACCAACACTTAGCGTAATGGCTATGTCGCTGAACTCCCATGTAGCCGACTGCGGTTCAAGTCCCAGATCCGGTGGCTTAAACTCACACCGGGCGTGTGTGCGTGCGTGCCCAGGATCCCGAGAGGAGAGTGGAGGAGAAGGGATTGTGGCGTGGCCATCCCCCCGGGGGGTGATTTCTCGCTTTCTGTCTCTCTGTCTCTCTCTTTCTGGTGAGCGCATGTGCCCTATGGCAAAAATGTCTCCAAAATAAAAAGCTGGACAGCCCAGGGGGAGGCCCTTTTGCCGTGAACTCACATGGATGTGGGTCTGGGCTGGGGCAGAGCCAGAGGTAGACCATGGCTGGGTGGACACAGTCCAGGGGGATGTCTGTCCTGAACTGGGCCTTCCTCCAGGGAGACACCTCTCCTGACCACATATGCAGAGGGCTGGGCAGACTTACCCTGGGGGCGGCCAGGGTGAAACCCGCAGAGCCAGGCCATGCAACACCTGGTCCCTCTGCTGCCCCTGGCTAGAGAGGACGTGGCGGCCAGGCCCCCCCACCCCCCGAATGGTCACATATCCAAGCTTTGCCTGGTCCCTGGAACTGGGGCATCCCCAGGCCCCAGGGAGGGACAGACGAGCCAGGTGGACTATCGCGCTCACATGACAGTCTCGCCACCAGCCCTGGGCGTGCCAGGCACTTTCTGGGCACCAAGCATGCAGGTCCTGAGAGCCTCGGCCAGCGTGTGGTGCTCGCCTCTTGGGGGGTCCTTGTCTCCCCTCCGCTGTGGCCTCTTCGAGCTCTGGACATAGGACAGAAGGACAGCACCCGGGCCCGGGGGTGATGCGGCTCGCCCAAAGCTCCCCTCGCTGCTCTGGAATCCCCGGAACACACAGGGCTGCTGTTGAGAACGGCCTTAATCCCCCGCTCTGGCAGATGAGTGAGTCCCCTTTTAACAATCGAGCCAGAATTCCTGTGCCATCAAGGCCTCCCCTTCGAAGTGTACGGTTAGTGGCTTTGGCGTGTTCGCCACTGTCTCACCTCAGCTTGTTTCTGTCACCCGAAGAAACCCTGCCCTGTGGCAGTCACTCCTCACCCTCCTCCTGGCCCCGCAGCCACTGGCCTGCTCCCGGTCTCTGCGGCTTCTCCTGTCCCGGACGTGCCACAGACTCGCAGACGGCACATGGCCCTCTGCACCTGGCTGTACAGGGGCTGGAAGTCGGCTCTTCGTGGCCGCATAGCAGGCCACCTCCAGCTAGGACACGCGCTGCTCATCCCCTCCACCCAGACGCACGTGGGTGGCTGCCACTCTGGCTGCTGTGAGTTACCGCTGCTCTGAACACGCCTGCAGGTGGTTGTCCCCATCTCCTTGGGCGCGTGCCCAGGGGGCTGCTGAGTCGTCTAACTCACTGCACTTGTTGAGGACCTGCCAGACAACTTTCCGGCATCCTGCCATTTCACACTCCATTCCGCAGGTGGCAAAACTGAGTCTCCAAGTCACTGCTCCCAGTCTCCAGCCTGTGACTGGGAGCAAGACCGACAAGACTTCCAGGCTTGTGGGCCAGCATGCCACCCAGAGGCCACT